AGTTTTGAACTATTCAAAAACTTTTGGAATCCATAACATATGAGTTTAATATATACTTTAATGAAAAGACTCTTGAAATTCCATAACTTGAGGACAAGTTATGGAGTTCATAAAAACATTTATGGAAAAAGACTCTTCAATATCATAACATATGAGTTTAATGAACGCTTTAAAAGAACAACTTTTAACATTCCATAACTTGATGACAAGTTATGGAGTACATTAAAGGCCATAAAGATCATCAAATAAACTAACAAGCATGTCAAAATAATGTCCATGATCTAGATTAAACTCATATGAACAGGATAACTCATATCAAACAAATTTCATGTAATTAGCATAATCATATAAACTAATACAAAATATGAAACTTTGACAGTTATCTTAGAAATTGGATAAGCATGATCATTACCACATCAAAAACAGGTTTATAAGTTCAAAAATAGCTTAGGGTAATGATCTTAGTCCAATTCTAGCCAAAAACATCGAAAATTTGCATTCTGGAGCACCAACTCGTCGAATGCAAGAACAAACTCGGCGAGTTGGTCAAAATTGTGCTGGGACTCAGTGAGTCCCCCAGTGGACTCGGCGAGTCCACTGTCCAGAACAACAGAAAATCGGTTTCAAGCTTAAACAACAAGTAGCATCAAGTATAATTGAAAACAACCCTAGGCTCTGATACCACTGATGATTTTTGAGCATTCTAACACTCCTAAGGTGTACATGCAACCCTAAATACATTGGATCTATGTTTTCTCTATTATAAATGCAAACTTCCATTTTCCAAGGTATTATCCTAACTAGCATACAAAACTTTGATACTTGGACAATAAAACAAGTTAGATAACATACCTTCTGTTATAGCTTGTTGCCCTTGATGTATTTGGCCTTTAAAAACTTAGCACCAATAGTGTGAATGCCTCAAATGGAATCACAACACACCTAGGACAAAGGATAACTTGAGAGAGAATGGCTTGCTCTAGAAATCGGTTCTATGACTCTTCCAAAGATCACTAGTGCCCTTTTTCACCAACCAAGGGGCTTCTTATATAGTGTGGCACAACTAGGGTTACACCATGCAAACCCTAATATGCATGACTTTCCATATTCCTTAGGCTCCATGGGTTTTAACCTCCATGGAGTATCCATGGTTCACCACATGGGTTTAGCCCAACATGAAGAAATATGGATCACAAGCCCACTTTATAAGAATGAATGATTTACACAATCAATCCCTAATTATTCAATTAGTCTGTTTTGATCACTAAATTAATTCTTGATCAATACTAATTAAATAATATGATTTCATATTAATATATTAGAACTTATAATATATTAATAAATCATAAATAACCTCTTCTCAAAAGTCCATCCTAACAAATTGTCCTGATGATATGCAACCCAAATAGACCATGATACTCTCGGGTCAAGTACATACCAATTATAGTTATGGACTTAGACACTAATCCAACATTTATGTCCATAAGGGCCTAGAGGAGTCCAGATCTGAAACTATGGCCTTGTGACAAGCTCAAATCTGAAAGTGACTCCTTTTTGCACCAAATTGCCCCATTTTCTCACATACGAAGAGATATAACAAATGGAAGACCAAGGTAAAGGCTTTTTACTTTCAAACTCAAGCCAAGGCAATGTAGACACCGGATCTACAGGCTTCTTCTCGTTCCAAGCTTCTAAAACTCCAAGCTTCTTCAACAAATGCACCAAAAACACACCTTAGCCTCTCACACACTCAAGAACAAGGTTTAGATTGACTAGGGTTTCTTCTGGTCGTCAAAAGGTGGTAAGGAGGCTGGGAGGAAGGACTCAAGGTCCTTTAAATAGGGTGCAAACCCTAAAAATTAGGGTTTCATATTCCAGCTCTAACTCGTCGAGTTGGGTCCTCCAACTCGTCGAGTAGGTCCCTAAAGTCACGCGACCATTATCCGTTTCTACACGACGAGTTGGGGCATCCAACTCGTCGAGTAAGCCTTTAAACATGAATATAAAACTGTAAAATTTATACATGGGAGTCAGGGTGTTACAATTTTATGCAAAATAGTTAAATTATTAATCTCAATATAATGTTAAATGATTAACTTAAATCAAAATTTCAGTTAAACTTGAAAAAATTGATGGACTATTTTATAAATAGTTAAAAGTTATAAATTATAGAGTTAAACCTAAATTGTCATCATAAATTAACCAAAAAAAACCGTGAACCTATTTTTATAACCGTTAAGAAATTTCAAATAAGTAGCTTAAAAATAACTTACAATAAGAATAGTTAAAAGTAATATTATATAAAAATTATAATGTTATATTTAAAAAACAATGTTTGTTGTTTTAAATAATTACAATCAAAGAAACTAACAATATTTATCAAATAAATTTAAAAAAAGTTAAATTTATGAATCCAAATTAAAATAATTAAGAGTTCTCAAATAAGTTATTTTAAATAACTTACAACAACAATAGTTAAAAATAATATTATATATATAAATTATATTGTTACCTTTAAAACATATATATATATATATATATATATATATATATATATAGAGAGAGAGAGAGAGAGAGAGAGGGAGATGTATAAAACAAATACTAGCACTTAAATAAAATATGTCAAGGTGTTTCTACATGTAACTTCCCATCATAAATATTGGGCCCCAAACGGTCATTAGGCCCGTAGCCAAATCCAACTTTCCAAATCCTCTGGAGATGGTTAATGTCTAGTTTGCCGCATGGCATGCTCAAACTCATTTAGGGGGCATGTCGTACATTATAAAGAACTTATTAGTTTCAAGTACCAACATGATATATTTAATGATGCTCTTTTTGGTGTATTTAGATGTGTTGGAGTTTTCGCTAAGAACGAATCATATGTAAATTGCTTAACTGACCCGTTGGAAGGAATATCAACGTTCATGTCAACTGATGTTTTTTTGTATTCGAGTGGATATGAGGGAAACACGCATTAGTAGATTTACCAGAGGGTTTCATATCATGGGTATAAGGATGTAAACGAGTTGAACAGAGCCCAAATTGACACTAATCGAGTTAGGCTGATTTAAAGTTATATAAGCTCGAGCTTGAGCTCGTTTCAAGCATGGAGTGTTAGCCCAAAACTAACTCGTTTGTTTGTGAAGCCTAAACGAGCTTTAGCTCGAATTTAGATCAACTTGTTTGTATCATAACCCGAGCTCGTTAATTGGCACATATGAGCGCATTAACGAGCTTGGCTATTAAAATTGAAAATTATAAAAAAAATGTAGTAAATATGCATTAACCGTGAAAAGTACTTCAAGTTTTTAAATTTCAATAGCCACATATGATTACATTAACATTCAATTGTATTCAACACATACATGTACCAAAAATATCAACTAGAAACCAACATTATCAATTTGTATTGCTAACATGAAAATTCACATATAAAACTTGCAATATTAAAAAGTAATTAATAAGTTTAACTTCATAATACGATATTAATGTACCACAAAATTACGTTCATTAATTGTGCTACTAGTATGAAAATTAAGTGTAAAACTTGCAATATTAAAAAAGAAATTAATAGGTTCAACTTTATAATCCGATACAAATAAACCACAAAAAAACTCCATTGAAAAAGGTGCTTACATTAGTTAATATATATGTCTTGATTCATTAAGACATGAACTTAATTTCAAGTATCTTAACAATTTATTTAGTTGATTGATTTTTCAACGTCATCAAAACTAATTAAATATCATGAATATATCATCCACATGTCTTAATATATTAAATAATTTCATTTATCCAACAAATTACCTAATTAGGGTTTGAGTTTATCATTTTCAAATTCAATTCCACCATCAATTCACCATAAGAAGCTTAAAATTGTGACTACAACTCTTCTAACTACATCATATTATGGATTCAAGTCATTTGAACAAAGTTCTATCAAATCTTTCAACTCCACCATTGTTGAACATTGAAGTTTAAATTAGAAGAGATAGGACCAAGATACTTTAATTTACTTAAATGACTTGATTCTTGCATATCATTTGCAATCCCTTGATTGTAGGTTTGATCTTGGCTCAAATACAAAAAATCGTCTCTTGTCTCTGCCTATCAAATAGGTGGAATGAGGAACAATGACTTACTTAGAGCATGATAAATATCTCATCCGACATTGGTTATGTGTCGCGCAATCTATATGTACGCGTCACATACTTCTTAAGCCGCGACACATTCACACGTCGCGACTCATTCAGGTTAGCATGCACGCATTGTATTCTTGTTACTCTTAGTTCATCATCGCACTTCAAGACGCACCATATCATACCATTTTATGCGCCACGTTATCGTTGTATATTGCCCATGTTTAAAATAACAACATACATCATTGTTTTACGTCAAAAAGGTATACATGCGTCACATTCTAGTAGACTATTATGCACGTTTTAGTACTTATCAAAATCTTTCATTTTTATCCTTTAAACTAAAATTACACAATTAATGATCCAACACATATTCTAATGGTTGAATGATTTATTATTTTGGGTTTATGATGAGGCGACAACAACTGTGGTTATCAAGATGAAAAAGGATCAGATTCGACTTGTTGATCCTAGGGATTTACTAAAATTTGACGAGCATGATATTCATACATTGTCTAAACATCAGCTTTTGGTGCATAATGAAATGTTTCATAAAACGATTTCCAAAAATCATTTCATCGTATAACAATGTATCAACCAAACAATGTTTAACATTTTATAACTTTTGTCACTTTAGACCATATTGTCTGTTTACATTAAAATTCACATACAAACTAATCTAGATGTTCCAATAGCCGATTACTTAACTTCTAAAATCCACTTATCACTTCTAATTAACTTCTAAAATCCACTTATCACTTCTAATTATTTTGGAGTAAATCCAACTATCCAATACGCATAAAGTCATAACTCATAAACCTTGAATTGGGCCGTAGAGAGAGTTTACAAACCAGGCGGTAACCAAGCCAAGCCCAACTCTAATTTCATTGGTTTGCGAAACCCTAAATATCAGATCACATCGTTTTATGCCTTGGTAAAAGGAAAACCCCTATACATTTGTGTTAGGGTTCTTCGTCATCGCCGTTTCGAAGCTGCGAATCCAAGTTTTCACAAATGGTGAGCATCCTAACTCCATCTAACTATCTCATGTTTTCTGTTCGTATTGTAAGGAAATGTGCATACGCTGGTTATCCAACTCTACTCCCAGCTCTATAGGATGGTTGATTAATCGTTAATTTTCAAAATTTTAAGTTGATTTAGGCGGATTTTGTTTGTATAATGCTAATCATAGTCGTGTAATATCTTATTACTTGCAGGCTCCGAAGAAGGGTGGAAAGCCGATTGTAACCAAGAAGAAAACGGTATGACAACTGAGACTGATTTCCGGATTTCATTCATTTCCATAGCTAAAAGTAGCATTTATATATTCGAAGTAAACTCGATTCGATAACATAGATTTTGAAACTGAAATTCGTTTACTCATAAGAAGAAATCAAACTACATATTTTGAAAACATCTGGAGTAAACCTCTGGAGTATGATCGGAATTGTTCTGTTGTTAATATCTACGAGTCTATCTAATTTCCCAGGAGAAGGTCGCGAATCCATTGTTCGAGAAACGACCAAAGCAATTTGGAATCGGTGGAGCTTTGCCTCCTAAGAAGGATCTTCACAGATTCGTAAGATGGCCTCAAGTCGTCCGAATTCAAAGAAAGAGGAGAATCCTCAAGCAGCGTTTGAAGGTCCCACCAGCCTTGAACCAGTTTACCAAAACCCTTGACAAAAATCTCGGTATTATGTTCATCCTAAACCATAGTCTTGCTCTAATTCCAACTATGTTCTTACTCCTTTTATATTCCACCGAGTTTCATCAAACTGATAGACATATCTCTGTTTATGAAATTATGAAGCAACGACTTTGTTCAAGATGCTACTCAAGTACAGGCCGGAAGACAAAGCAGCCAAAAAGGAACGCCTTTTGAAGAGAGCTCAAGCTGAATCAGAAGGAAAGACTGTTGAAGCTAAGAAACCCATTGTTGTGAAGTATGGTCTTAACCATATCACCTACCTTATCGAGCAGGTTTTTCTCATTTACACTCACTGTAATCTTCTATTTCTTTTTCTTCTAAAGTGCTTAATGGCATCTTATGTTACATTTCAGAACAAGGCACAATTGGTGATCATTGCCCATGATGTTGATCCAATTGAATTGGTTGTCTGGCTTCCTGCACTCTGCAGAAAGATGGAAATCCCTTACTGCATTGTAAAGGGGAAATCTCGTTTAGGAACTGTAAGTTTTTCCCTTATATTTTTTACCTTTCTTTTTTTCATTTTCAGTTGTGAGTAACAATTCTTTTTGTATGATTCAGATTGTCCATCAGAAAACTGCAGCAGCGTTGTGTTTGACCACAGTCAAGAACGAGGATAAAATGGAATTCAGCCGAGTATTGGAGGCCATCAAGGTAAACATAGCACACTTTTTCTTGATCTGTCATTTGGGCAAAAGACTTGAATTCCCTTGTAGTATTAATTTTTAGTAAAAATTTGCAGACCTGATTCATTTGATTTATGATGTTTGATTTGGTGTTTCAGGCTAACTTCAATGACAAGTATGAGGAGTACAGGAAGAAGTGGGGTGGTGGAATAATGGGTTCCAAGTCACAGGCAAAAACTAAGGCAAAAGAGAGGGTTCTTGCAAAGGAGGCTGCTCAGAGGTTGAATTAGATTATGCTTTTCGTAATGTACTTTCTGGTTTTGATTTTTGTTTTAGAAAATCTAAATTTAAGGTTATTTTTCGTTTCGAAATTTTGAAAGGACAAATATTTACTTGTTATGGTTATTGTATGTGTTTGGTTTTTGGATTTATGATAATTATTGATTCGAAGTGAGTTGCCTTAGAAAAATTAAATTGGTTATGTGTTTAAAGTGCTACAAAACACTCGGACTTATGATTTATGTTTTTAATATGGAAAGAGTCGTCTTCTTCAAAGCAGTTGGCATGTTAACAGAGCTTTTTTACACTTATAAATTAATTTTATTAATTTAATCTATAGAATAATACTGGTATGATCCATAATTAAGCTTCGTGAAACGACTTAACTCTATAGTGGTGTGGGACCAACTCTAGTTTGGGTGGTATTAAAAGCTATAGCAATAATGGTGACTCAACTCTTTACCTTGTACCAAAGCTTCTATTATATATTATAAAAGTTACAAACCTCGAACCACTTGATTTTTTATAGGGAAAATACCGCTAATAGACAAAAAAAAGAAGGTCAATTTCAAAATTTAGTCATAAAAAATGATTTTTCTACTTATAGACACGCATTCCGTGGAGGGCCCTCTGCGGACCTCCTTGGATCGATATTACCTCCGCGGAGAGGGGTGTTTTTGTCATTTGCCCGTCTTCTTTTTGACAAAATCGGACCCTCCTCTTTGGTCCCCCCACTGGTCCCCCGATTCCTCTTTGACAAAGACGGTTCTCCGCATCGACTTACCACCGAAGATTCCGGCGACCACGATAGCAAACGACGTCATTTTCCGACGTCCAAACCGGCGACCAGGACTTCGATTACGACGTCATTCCGGCAGTAATGGAGGACAATCTCCCCAATATTTTGAGCTACGGTTTAGGATCCCGGGTATTTCTCACATTCCTTTCTTTGGATTAATGTTGTATATGTATGAAATTTGTTGAAAACCGATTATATTAAACTGAATAAATAGGCAAAATTAAAAAATTTAGATAGCAAAAAATGGAGTTCGACAGGTGGGTTCCGGAATGGTGATGATCCATTCCGCGGAGGTGTATGTCTCTCAGCGGAGGGTTATATCAGTCCACAGAGCACCCTCCGCGGAGTGAAGTATGCTGTTTAAAAAAGCGGATTTGGTCTATCCGCGGAGGTGTTGGTCTATCCGCAGAGCCTTCTCCGCGGAATGACCTAAAGCCTCCGCGGAATGACCTTAAACATAATTTCCTAATTTTTTTTTCATGTCCTTTTATATTAAATTAAATTAAATTAAATCTTATGTTTTGCAGCATTTAGATCTCAATCAAAAAGCGGATTTAACTTTAAAAGGTGTGGTGGGTATTATCATTAAAGATTATTTTCCGCGGCTAACACAATCACAACGACAATTATTCGAAGCTTCGCCGTTTGGAATATTCTTAGGAATGCATATCCCACATGGTGATCCGTTACTTGTGCATTTGATGATGTTGCACGAAGTAAGGTCTCAAGAAATATTTGAAATGGGGAGGTTTTTTTTTGATATACAAGGGACGCATTTGGATTTTGGTGAAACGGAATATATTCTCATTTGTGGTTTAAAAGTTGGTCCTTATGTGGATTTACTCCACGATGAAAAAGGCCGGTCAAATTCAAGTCTTCGTGCTCGGTTGTTCCCAGACATTTCTGATGCGCGTATGCGGTTGAAAGATTTGGAAGACTTCATTATGTCTCCAAAATATTTAGCAGTTCAAGATGAAGATGCTGTGATGCTTATCCAGCTTGTTTTTGTGTTGAAGGGACTCCACGGACGGGACGTTAAAACGTGCATTCCCGTTGCAATATACAAGCTTGCTGATAATAGAGATGATTGGAACAGGTATTACATTTAAATATTGTGTAAAAATAGAATACAATAATAATAACTATAATATACAATATGAAAATTGCAGGTTTGCATGAAGTACGTATTTTTGGAGGTATACTTCGCGGATGATGCGTGAAATGTTTAAGAAAATAGTAGAATTTAGACAATTCAAGGAGGCCAATCCCGAATCCAAGAAAATACACAAGTATATCGTTCCTGGTTTTATGCTGTCGTTTAAGGTTATTTTCTAATAAATTTAATTACTTATCATTGTTTTGTTTTTATACGATAATAACATTGAACTTCGGTTTGTAGTATAAAATATAATAGCGTGATACTTAAATTTTCTTTCTATAGATCTGGATTTTGGAGACGTTCCCCGAGGCAACCAAATTTTATGTACGCATCCCGACAGAATTGCCGCAGATGAGGTCGTGGAGAAGTAAAACACCGTTATCTTGGGATAACTGTCGTCGAATAATCAACGTGCTTGTGGTATGCTTTTTATATTAAGGATTATTTATACTTATAAATTCCAACGTATTTTCATTTTAAACTAACAATTTGATTTTAATTTTTGTAGCCTAACAACGTACCTATTCCAGTCGTGGCAAATGGGACGGAGCTGATGTTGCCGTTTTATGTTCGCTATGTCAATTGGACTCTTAACCATGAAGAGTCTCCTCCACCGCAACATAGTCCGGTCCGAAATAGTCCACCTGTTGTTGCCTCGCCTCCTCGAAGAACTATGTACAAGTCGGATACATGTTCGACTGAATCTGCCACAAATGCTTCTTCCTCGCAACATCCTGAAATAGAAACAACTTATACGTCAAGCGACACATCAACGAGGGTCGTAAAGAAGAAGAAGAGTAGCACAAAGGCATTAGTGAAGCGTCTACTAGGCGTTGTGGCTGAGTTATCATCTAAAGTAGATCGTGTATTACATGAAAAAGATGAGCCAAACAAACGGTTTGTAGAGGAGGAGGAGGAGGAGATGATAAATGAAGAGGATGAAGAACCATATTACCATGATACACAGTTCGACTATGGTGGTTTGGAGGAGAAAGTTGCGCCTACACCTACGCATGGTGAGCCGTCACAAGACGTGGGTGAACATGACACAAAAATAGTGACTCCTATTGGTAGGCCGCAACGAAAGAGGGTTGTTGCATGGTATCAGCGGACTCCGTTCACAGTGGTAAAAAATTCATATTTTAAATTTGGTATATTTCTAAAATATTACATTATTGACATGTTGATTTTTTAGATGCAATCGACAGCAAAATTGAAGAAAATCAGCAAGACAAGGAAGAAAAAAATAGAGGAGAGTCCTAAAAAACAAATGAGGACATTGTCAATGCAGAGAGTAGTGACGTTTCAAACCATCTCTTGTTGGACAGTATTTATAGTAATAGTCCGATGAGTTTTTGGAAAGAATGGAGTGTGCTCTCTTCCAAACTCATCACTAAACATAGGCTGCATATTCTCCCACTAGATATGAATTTTTGGTCGAGGTTACTTTCTGTTACTGACAAAGGGTGGTTACTTTCTTCGGTAACATTCCTTTAATTAAAATTTTAACTATTTTTTTAGACTAGAATTTATATAAATAATTCTAACATTTTTATCTTAAAATGTACAGCATATTGCGATATGGAGTTCCTTGTTGATGGAAAGGCGGCCGGCGAATGCTAGGTGGACCATATTTCCACAAGAAATCAATTTGGAACCCGAAAAATCATTATTTTTAAGGAATGTAGCAAATGGTTTTGGAGGTTGTCCTAAATGGAAGGATGTGGATATGGTTAGTTAACTTTAATAATTATTATTTTATAAATATAATATTACTGAAATTACGAGTATTTAATTTATATTATTTTTTGCAGGTTCTATTCGTAATAAATGTTATTAGTGCCCATTAGTTTATGTGTTAAGATTTATGGAGTCTTGAATAAATTGACAAGTTCCTAAGAATTCAAGGGCCATAAATGAAACTTGTAAATTAAAAGAATTGAATATTGAATTGGACGCACTATCAATTGTTTAATAATATTGAAGTGGACGGCGGCTCTATTTTGGACGGCTAAAGAAATCAACGCATTCTTTTTTTTTTCAAACTTTGCGGCATATATATATTCTAGTCAAATATAGCGGCAATTTGTGTAAACAAAAGAAAAAGGCTTACGGCTCTCTCCTATATATATATATATATATATATATATATATATATATATATATATATATATATATATATATATATATATATATGAATTGTAAGAAGAGCGATGTAGCGTAGAACAACAAAAGTGCTGAGTGATATTACCATTTGTAATCTTATAGTGAGTTAATATAAAATCTAGTTGCGCCCGTGGACGTAGGATTTACACCGAATCCGAACCACGTAAAATCCTTGTGTTCCTTCTTGCTTTATTTCCTTCGTGTGTTTGTGTGTGTGATAGTGTGTTTCCGCTGCGTGTACCCGGTCCGATTCCTAACAACTGGTATCAAAGCCTGGTTAGCGAGGTTTGGAGGGTACGATCGTTTTTTTTATCACGCACGAGTGTACCTGATTTGTATCTTGTTTGTCGTAATGGCTGAAGACAAGATTATAATCGAAAGGTTCAATGGTTCTGATTTTAGCTGGTGGAAAATGCAATTAGAAGCATTGCTATGTCAGAAAGACTTGGACGTGGTACTCGGAGACAAACCGGAGAAAATGGAAAAAGCTGCTGAAGATGCGTGGAACTCAAAGGACAAGAAAGCCAAGGCGGTTATTACATTGTCGTTGACGAAGAGCGTTGCTTTCAACATCATGAATGAAACCACGGCGCGTGGTATGATGGAGGCTCTGTCAAATATGTATGAGAAACCATCGGCGGCTAACAAGGTGTTCTTGATGAAGGAGTTGTTCACTACAAGGATGAATGAGGAAGGCTCAGTTACGGTTCACATTAACAATCTAAATTCAATTCTGTCCAGATTATCATCTGTGGGAATTAAATTTGATAACGAGACTCAAGCATCACTGCTACTAGCTTCTCTACCTGATAGCTGGTCCGGAACAGTTACTGCTGTTACGAGTTCCGTGGGGACCAGTGGTATGACTTTTGAAGGGGTTAGAGATTTGGTTCTTGGCGAAGATATCAGACGCAAGAATCAAGGTGGATCTTCTTCTTCTGAGTTATTAAATATCGGAATAGGGAGAGGGAATAGCAGGAATAGTGGAAGCAGTGGGAGTCGGGGAAGAAGTTCATCTAGAACTAGGAAGAATGTGAAGTGCTGGAACTGCCAGGAGGTGGGACATGTTAAGAGTCAATGTCCAAAGAAAGAATTGAACATTACCGGTGCTGAGAGTGTGTCTGAGGATGATGCATTGATACTCAGTTAGAAAGTTCTGTAGACTCTTGGGTCATGGATTCAGGGGCTTCGTTTCACGCCATGGACAACGGGGAAACGATGGTGAATCTAAAAGAAGGAGATTTTGGGAAGGTACGGTTGGCAAATGACGAGATGCTTCAGGTAACGGGCATGGGAGATATTGATCTGGTTACTTCATTGGGAACTACATGGAACCTGAAAAATGTCAAGGTGATTCCGGAGCTGAAGAAGAAATTGATTTCTGTTGGTCAGCTGGATAAACAAGGACTGGAAGTAAGGTTTGGTGGTGGTAAATGGATGGTGGTCAATGATAATCTGGTGATTGCTCATGGTATGAAGTGTGGGTCATTGTATATGGTTGAGGTACCTGCTGAGGGAAGTATGACCGTCCCTGTTAAGCAAGACAAAATTTGGTTCGCTAAATCTAGTGCTAAGAGACTTCATTTTGCAAACATGAAGTCTGAAGCCAAAAGGATGTTAGCTGAACGAGTTCGAAAGTCTAAACCATTCAGGGGATTTGGTGACAATGGGAGCACGGGACGTGTTTCGGGTACAGTTACAAAGAGCCGTTGGGTTTTGAAGACTAAGACTGGAAAATTCTCTCTTGTTGGAAGTTTGCAAAGTTTGGAGAGTGTTAGTAGTCCTCGGTGTATCTCTGGATCTGGTGGAGTGTCCAAACCGGTTGAGACAGAGGATGAGTTGGTGGCGGGATTAGCCACGGCTAAGTTGGAGCTAGTGGGAGCTTCAACTGGCCCTTCTAGTAATTGATGATGAGGGGCGGCTGCAACTAGAGAAATCAGACTAAGTTTTAGCTTGTTCTTTGGAACTGGAAGCCTAAAAGGACTTGGTTGTTTTTTAAGATTACTGGAGTAATTGAGAGTTGAATGGCGGAGAAAAGCTAAAGTTGTTCAAGCCTCCAAGTGGGAGATTGTTAAGATTTATGGAGTCTTGAATAAATTGACAAGTTCCTAAGAATTCAAGGGCCATAAATGAAACTTGTAAATTAAAACAATTGAATATTGAATTGGACACACTATCAATTGTTTAATAATATTGAAGTGGACGGCGACTCTATTTTGGACGGCTAAAGAAATCAACGCATTCTTTTTTTTTTCAAACTTTGCGGCATATATATATTCTAGTCAAATATAACGGCAATTTGTGTAAACAAAAGAAAAAGGCTTACGACTCTCTCCTATATATATATATATATATATATATATATATATATATATATATATATATATATATATATATATATATATATGAATTGTAAGAAGAGCGATGTAGCGTAGAACAACAAAAGTGCTGAGTGATATTACCATTTGTAATCTTATAGTGAGTTAATATAAAATCTAGTTGCGCCCGTGGACGTAGGATTTACACCGAATCCGAACCACGTAAAATCCTTGTGTTCCTTCTTGCTTTATTTCCTTCGTGTGTTTGTGTGTGTGATAGTGTGTTTCCGCTGCGTGTACCCGGTCCGATTCCTAACATTATGGCGGTGCTACATTTAGATACCTGGAAAGTAGAAATTTATGATTCAGCACGAATGCGGGTTACTTCTCAAAGTACTTAACTGGTGGAGAATTCACAAGTTTTGGAGATAGTATTATCTCAGAGTTAGATGTCATTGAGTACTGGAACCATTTCCCCGTTGGACACAAAGACAAAGCAAAGCTGGAGTTTGTTGATGTTGTAGACGTGCCACAACAAGAATATAGTCTTGACAGAGGGGATTGTGGAGTATTTGTATGCATGTTTATGGAAATGATTGTTTCGGGGGTACCAGTGAAGATTTCTACGGCACGTAGAGATGCGAGATTTCTCTACAAAAATAAGATGGCAAATGTTATTTGGGATACTATATAGGCCTAACTATATAAGTTGATATTAGGAACTTTGTATATATATAATAATATTAAATACTTGTTTCTAGTATGTAATTCAGCAACAAATGTTACGAAACCATACAATCAAACACAATAAACATTACAAATAACATAAAAACATTACAAAAGAGTCGTCTACATGAAAAAGGTTTCTTACGACTAACAAACATTACATAAAACATTGGAAATAAAACAGTCGTCTACATGAAAAAAGGTTTATCTTTTACCAGATTCCAAACGTCCGTATACTCGAAATCAGTTCCATCAAACTCGCACAAGTAATATCCATTCACGTCTTGAAGAAGTTCTTCATCATCTGCTTGAGAGCGTCGCATTTTCTCATGATTGTAGCATCGATTGAACCATGTGACTTTAAACTTTAAATCCATCCATTTACTAACAATATCAGGTTTTAGTCGTTCTTGTCCTTGTCCGACCTGATAGTTGAACCAATCCTACCGAGTTGTCAAAATGAGTTCAGGAAATCACGTATTAAGAAAAAGTTTCTCAACCCTACCGAGTTTTTTCCATAATCTGCAAAGAACCAATCCAAACACCTTCACGTACATTACGAAAGATCAGTACAATCGTTTCAAAATTTGTTTTGTGGCATTGGGATGTGTGGTATGTAATCCGTTATAATAAATCATTTAATTACCTTAGGTTGTTATATACCTAATATTCTTATCTTCACTTGCAGATTCGTACGTTTGTCACGTCTATGATACCAATCATATTCGTTGATCATGTACCTCTAATTGGGACGTACGTAACATCCATGTACATTGCGGTTGCTTTAGATGGAAATCATCAACCCCTTCTCATAGCGTTTGCTTTGGGAACCATAAACTGTGACGATTCATGGTTATGGTTCATGAGGAGGCTTAAAGAATGTTTAGGTGACAATACAGAAGTTGGTTTCATAAGCCATATGTCTGATTCCATAGACTTTACAGTTCAAAGAGTCTACCCTGATTCATATCATGGCTATTGTTGTAAAAATATAGCCGAGAAAATACGCGCTTCCACCGCGTGGAATACAGTGGTAGAGCAGTTGTTCTGGAA